GCTGAGTTTAGACAAGTCTTTAGACTACTGGGCAGCTAAGACATGTTTAAGCAGCATTAATCTGAACTAATGTTAAAAATGGGGAAAAATAGTCCTAATTCTGCATGAACTTGCTTTGTAGACAGTGGTGTGTAAATGTACTTGAAGGAAGATTTTTGGTTTTCCATGTCAATTTTTAAAGAGTAACGATGGGCAAAAAGTCAGCTTGTTTGTCAGCTCCCTTGCTGAACTTGTAGCTCTGGCATCTGCCTAAATGAGCAACTGAGCATCTGCCTAAATGAGCAAATGACCTCTCTTGAATGATGCAGTAGCTAAAAAATCCCATGGCTGAGCTGCTGCTTTGTCCTTATTGAAGACAGCATTTAAAGTAAACTACTGCTGTCAAGAGATCTTTAGCTACGCTACATACCCGCAAAGCTTTGTACATGTATCATTATCTGGATTTATTCCTCATTGGGGTGAGCTTTTTCTTCATCAATCGTTGTGTGCGAGCATGAACATTTCCACATTTCCAAAGGGACGGGCACTTCCTGCTTCTTGGCCCCTTCCGGATTCTGTCACTGGATTAGAACTCTAATTTGGAGTTTACTAAACACTTTTTCCTTTATTTATGGTAGGTTGTACAGGAGAATGAAAATGTTGTCTTCTGCTTGGAGTGTGCCCTGCGGCATGTGGAAAAACAGAAGTCTTGTCGGGGACTGAAAATGATGTATCGCTATGATGAGGTCTGTACAGCACAGCTCTGTGATGCCGGTTAGCTCTGACACTGAGGACTCGGGGCTAGCGCTGCGCTGCCTTTGGCCACCCAGGGCCTCAGGAGACAGTTTTCTCCCTTCGTTTTTTTTCGGGGTGGTGGGTGGTGTAAGAAAGAAGGTCTCTTAGGATATTGTAAGTAAGTGTGTGATTAGGTGTTATGAAGCCGGGAAGCCATTGAGCGCTTTGGGATGCTGCACGTCACGAAGATGGGCTCTGGTGGCTTCCCCTGTGGCAGCAACGCTCTGACACGCGCCGGTGCAGCCCAGCGCTCCTCCAGGGCAGGGCTGCACAGGGCCGTGCCCGCACATGTGCATGGGATGGCTGTGCAGTCACACAGCGATGTGTTCCATGTCTCTAGTTCGCTCCTGCCCTGTGGAAAACCATCATGGGATGTGACAGAGCTAGATGGGAGAGAGAGCCTCTTACTGTTAGCCCAGCTGTGGAGAGTGAAGCAGTGAAAGCATTTGCAGCAGCTCTTTATAATCAGTTCTTGATGATACTGCCAGTATGTGATGATCCTGGTCACATTTTGAGGCAGACATGTTGCTGCCTTCAATGTAGCAGTGCAGAGTTAAAGAAAAAGCAAAAAGATCAGACTAAGCCTGGGTAAGGTCTTGCAGACTCTGGTCTAGCATCAGATACTGTAGGTTGCAACCAGGCACAGTCTAGGGAGGCCAGGCAGATGAGACGCACTTTGCAAGGTGATAAAGAAGAGTTTAGGAGATTTCCTCTCAGAAATATTAATGTTTCTTTTATGCTTGAGATGATTCAGCCCCTAATTCCTGTTAATTCTGGTGAGGTTTTTCAAAAAATCTTTTCATCAGAATCACATACAGCAATTACTTTCTGCTAGCATGAAGGGGATGATTTAGGTAGCTTTGAGAAAGCTAAAAAAAAAAAACTCTCTCATTCCTGGATTTTTTTTTTAATGAATGAAAAAGCTGGCATTAAGTTTCTACACCTGAAAGATACTGAACGTGTGCCTGCATGTCAAAGGCCACCTGTTAGATATATTTAACTGTTAGATATATTTAATTAAGAGATTGTTTCAACATTGCACAAAGATAAGCTGTCGACATTCTTAACAGGATAGTACGGGCAGTTCAAAAAAAAATTTTGCACACCACAAGCTTCAGTAAATGACTTAATGCAGTGAAATGTGTAGATGCAGCCAAGACACAGGTGTGCAGCCCAAGGACTCTTGGCACCTGCTCCTCACAGGGCCATGGACTTGAAGCCCTTTTCTTGAATAGCAGCAAAGGCTCTTGCTGTGCGCCAGGCCCGAGCACTTGGACACCCAGAGACCATAAAAGGCAGCAAACCAAAGCAGCCACTGACAACAATCCCACCAAGAAAAGACAGGATCTTTTCCCTAAATTTTAGAGAAATATTTAGACCAGTTCTGTGGCTGAATACTATCCGTTGAGTTGGAAGTGGGGAAACTTCAGCACAGCAGTTATTCAGAATACAGCATAGTACCAGCTACCAAAATCTCGGCCATGAAATAGTAGTAGTTTCCAGATGAGTAGATCTTCTTCCCCTTTCTTGCCACTTTGAGTCTGCACAGCACCACTACTTGCATGTGTACCAGAAGTGACCCAGAAAACAAGACGCTGATTTCTGCTTTGTTTCTTTTCTCCTCTCCTTCTTGAACAGGAACAAATAATCAGTCTAGTCAATCAAATCTGTGGAAAAGTATCTGGTAAAAACGGCAGCATTGAGAACTGTATCAGCAAGCCCACACCAAAAAGAGGACCTCGGAAGAGAGCAACAGTTGACGTGCCATCATCTAGGCTTTCATCCTCCAGTTCATCCAAAAGTGCTTCAAGTTAATCCTGAAGATGCCAACACTCTCATTTTGTCGATTTATATATATTTTTTGTAATTATTATACCATAGTTTGGAGTACTTGCTGTAGAATACAAGCTGTCTTTGCACTAGCTCTAAAGAAGATTTTTCTTCTGGTTTTAGAGAACTAATTTTGTTTTAGCATTAAACTGTTGAATTTTTTTTTGTACTTAGGATAGATAGATACAGCAGTCAGATTTTTTTAAACTGCCGTATGTTCACTGTTTTAAAAACGGCAAGGGGCTGATAAAATATTAATTTGTATTGTCCCTATGGCTTAAAAAAAATAAAAAGCCTTTTTGGTAACTGTGAAAAAAAGGCTTTTAGCCCATTTTTGAATAGGTTAAAGTTTGATGTGTTTTATAATTTGTTCTCCAGTCATGTGAGCAGATTTTTCTAGAGAGAAAAGGGATAGGAGACAAAACTTGAAAGAAATTGCTTTACTTTGGCTGTCTTTTATTCTGTCACAGCAAGATGAGTTTTGTAATTTTTTAAATTGGAGAATACACACTTTCTTTGGGAGGTTTTGGCAGCTGAAGCTGGACTTTGTTTCCTAACTGTAGGCAAAAGGAGGAGATTTGGAGTATGTTCTCTTTTACCAGCACATCACTATGCATCTGTTTTGAGGGGGAAAATAAAAAATAAAAATAAAAATAAAAAAAGAAAAGGAAAAAAGACTGCCTGCCTTGAGGAGTCACGTGAGGGAAAACTGTGCCTGATTTCATTAGGAAATCCATTCTGTTATTTTTTGGTGCTGTTGGCTACTTTATCAAAAACCCTTCAATAGCATCCTTTAAAAAAAAAAGAAAAAAGAAAAAAAAAGTGATTGAAGCCATAAGTGCTTCTTTGTCATAGACGTGCAATCTTTCTAACATTCCATTTCCATTCCACTGCTGTTTTTCACACCTTACACAGTCGAGCATTAATTTTTGTTTTGAATTCGTTCCATTATATGGTCACTTTTAGAGCCACTAGCGGTCTGCATTTTTCTTTTGAATGTGAAAATGCATTTGCTTTCATCTTGTCTATTTTTCTCTTCATGTTGTAACAAAAAGAAAAAAAAAATCACACCTTTTGTACATATGCCTGTAAATTTTTTTAAATACTTGAGCCTTTTCTTGGGGTGGGGGGAGGGCGGGCGAGGAGACGAGATGAAGAAAAGCCTTACGTTTCACTTTCTTCATCGGTTGGATTGGATGCTTACAGGGTTTTTCTTGTAACATTTATAAGTGCTGCTTACATCACTGAACAACAACAAAAAATAATAATGGAGTAGCTGATGCCCTTTTCTGGTTGTGTGTACAGTATGTGTGGAATAAAAAAGGGAAAATGTTTTCACAAACTGTTTTGTTTCGTAATTGAATTCAACAATACCGTAGCTACCCATATTGCACTGAGCTTGCCAGTGGTGACTGTCAGGAAAGTCCTATAATACAATTTGTTGGTTGTTGTTGCAGAAGACTGAACTGTTTTGGAATATTTAACAATAACATAAACAGAGTCAAGTGTTTTCAAATGTGGTTGTCTGGTTTTTATGGCCTTGCTGTGTACTTTTCCCTCTTGACAGTAAACTTCTGACTATGGCTTACAGTTTGACATTTAATTTATTAGCGCTGCTCTGCTCTCTTTCCTTGTAAGGAAAGACTTCATGTTGTTTATTGCCAGTTTTTTGTTTACTTTCCAGGTTTGTACTACAAGGTTTAATAAAAAAACAAAACTTTTTTGGACATTTTGTCTGTCTTCTGGAAAGCGAGTGAGTAATCTCTTTCAAGAAAAAAAAGATATCTTTCCACAAAGGAATTGTTAAATACAGAACTGGAGGTAGGCTCCTAGCTGTCATTTCCCAAGGTGAGGTCAGGAAACTTTCCATCAGGTAATGGGAGATCCAGTGTATCCTTAAGGGAACTGGCCACTTCCCACCCAGCTGGCAGCAGGAGGGACCTCATTCCTACCCGTTAATGGTGCCAGGGCTGGTCCCTGGATGGGAGCTACATCACGACTCATCCTTTTACTTACGCTGTTCCTGACTGCATTCCTTTCCTCAGGACATGAAGAGCAGGAGCCAGAAGACCTCTTGAGGTAGAGCAGCTCCCTGCAAACAGAGTGCGAGACTCGCAAAAAACAGGTGTTAGGTTCAGACCGCTCTATTTTAGAAGCAAGAAAGTGACTACAAGAAAAAAAAAAAACACTACGGGAGGTAAGATGATGACCATGAGTTCCAAATTTTGTAAAATGTATGCACTTAATTCCTACGTTACTCCAGTTTATTTCCCTTAAACTTCTGTCTTGCCATCAGTGCCATCAAGAACAAGTTACTGCGGAAGATGTCAATTACACTGGTGCTCAAAATAAGTAATCAGCTTTTCTCATCGCTGCATTAATCTCCTCTGTTCACTGTCATGCAGAAAATATTTGGATAATCAAGTAGAAGACATGGTTGGGATAGAAATACTTTATTTCATCTCAAGAGAGGAGTAAATTTATACAGTGCTAAGATACCTGCTCCTCGAGGAGCGTAACACTTCAATATGTATTTCTCCTCCTTTTCAACCTCTTTTTTTTTCCTTAACACCTATGATAACTAAGTTGGTCCTGAATAAGAAGTGCAAGAGAGTGGACACTGCTGCATTAGTAGACAAAGGTAGGCAGACAGTAGATAGTAAAGAGTAGAAAATAACTTTTCATTTTGGTTGGAGCCTAAATCTTCAATTGCAGCTGTTGAAAACATGCAAGGAACAATTTGGGTTCAGTACTATACATCAATGCTAAGTAGTTCCAATAAGTTCTTTAAACATTAGTGGTCAAAGAGACTTATCTTGTTCCTTTAGTTCTTTTATACATAGTATATACAAAAGTTGTACTACTCCCCTGAGCCCCGAGACTACTGTTAAAGTGTGTGTGCTTTAGGCAATTTTTTAAAAACCAACCTCCGCGTGACTGGCAATCTTGTAAAAATCTTGTATTACTAGTAAAAAGATCTGGCTGTTATGATTGATTAGCAAACCCTTACACAGACAAGCTCTTCATTCATTTGTTCATTCATTCAAAAGTCATTCTGAAAGGATATGGTGTTAAGATTCAGATAGTCTGAGAGTCACTTTCATCACTAACATCTGAAGCAGCCTTTCTTTCAGTAGTTACAGCAGCAAGAGCAGTGTCCACTTGAACTTCCTCTTCATCAGACTGAATAACCGGGGACTCCCCTTCACTGGCGTCTTGGCTGGCAGAATCAGTGCAAGTGGATGACAGTGAAGACAGTTTCTGTCGCAGTTCGGACTGGCTTGGAACCTGCAGGCTTATCTCGTTCACGTAGGTGTTGGAGTCTGGCCCTTAGAGTTGGAAAAAGATTAAAAGTCAAGCAGTAGCTCTACAAATCCATTGGTAAGTCAGTGCACTAAGTGAGCTCAGAGGTGGTTTATGAAGTGCATTCAGGCTGCTTTGCTGCTTTTGCAAAATCCCGTAAAGAAACAAAACAAAACACAAAGCTGCCTATTGGGTTTTCACAAGCCGGGCCAGGCCACAGGGTGGCTTTAGTCTGATTCTGACTGTATCTAATAGGCTTGAGATCAAATAGGCTGATGCCGCACAAATACTAAGTCCTGATTCTACTAACACTCATAGCTGGTGTCTAGTTTGTTAGCCAAAACCACTTACCCTCCTAACTCTGGCTCTTGATAAAAGTCTATTCAGCGCGTGCTGAGAGTCATGACCAAGAGAAAAATCCTTCAACCAAGCTTTGTGTGGCAGAAGGACATGAAATAACCGGAGTGAAATTAAAAATATTAACTGGAAGATAGGCAATGTTTGTAATCTCCAGCCTTGACTGCGAGTGAAGCACTCTGGGTGGCACAGACACACAAGCTGTCAGGATAACTTACAGACTGTAGCGAAGAGCTGCAAAACCAATGCCCACAAGCCAACAAAATTTCTAGTAAGCCAAATCGGAGCTTATTTCTGTTTTTACCAGTTACTCAAATAACCTGCACTGCATGGTTTTCTGTAAAATTATGACCCTAATCGCTCCTTGACAAACCTGGTTCTCCCATGACAGGAAAACAAAGAGTTGTATTGGAATCAGCTCACTTTCCTGAGAATGAAGGCTAGCGTATAGCTCGCCTCATACTAGGCTGCAAGGTCCTGTCAGCAAGCAGAAAACTCCTTTCTAAGTCAGAGTGAAATGAATCATCTGGAAACACCGTAACACTGTGTGAGCCTGCCCAACCTCTTGGTTAAGATTAATGTGCAAGCTATTACAGCACTGGTGTATTATACTACAGTGTGTACATACATATGTATGAAAATATAAAATCTATACACAAAATCTATAAATATGCACACTGTAATACTTTTACATAACAGTACAAAAGAATATAGCTCCTCTAAAAGCTTTTTTTAAAAAAAGCTAAAAGTTAATTGCATTTAATAGTTAATACACTTCCTTACATACTCCAGCAATGCTGCTTTTGCAACACGAAACCTCTTGGTTCAACATCTGCCAGAAACCCAAAATGGGTAAAGCAGGCCTAGATTTTGTAATAACTTGCACACCGTGATCAACTTGAACAGCCACGAATGAAATGCCTATCTAAAGCCAGGCACTGGAATTCAGTTTTTGCAACAAAAATTTGTATGCACTGGCTACTTCTCCTAAGTTTTTCATGTTCACAGCAGGTAACAATCAGCTTTACACAGGGCACAAGAAAATCACTCTGCAATATTCTTCACTTTTTATTCACATATTCCAAAATCAATGATAGAATTTCAAGTGTCTATTTCTTTATAACGCATTATTTTAGCTGTTTTGGAAAAAGATATTTTAGTACTAAAATAAGTTTTAAATTTAAAAAAGAGTGCATAGAGTATCCAGGATTACTAACTGGCTGCATGAGCAGATCCTTATCATGCTGCAGCATGCCAAATTCTAAATCTGATTTTGTTCCTCACAACACATGAAACAAACTTTGCATTAAGATTAATTTAATCCAAGTTACCTAACATGACAGTAAGAAGGCTACAAAGAGCTGCAGTAGCAGAATCACTTTCTTAAGCTTCCAGAATGTTTTCAGACATCCGATATGGCCTGCTGTCTTCAGTCAGGTTTCTGAACATCTGATTAAAGATCTTAAATTACGTAGGTGGCTCAAGTGTACGTAAAAATGTTGAATTCGAGGCAAAGTCTAAGAAAGCTTTCTTAAAAATACAAACCCAACTAAACAAACTTTTTGTTGATGTTTGCTTTTTTAAGGCATCCCATATCAACTTTACATCAATGAGCTGGAGAAGCAAGTTCTTCTCTTACACCAGAAAGCAATGTATAACCCACTGCCCAGCCATATCATGACAAAAATGGCATGAATCTATAGTGACTACGGGAAAAGTCACACGGCCATAAAAAATACCGAGCAGCTTTGCAGCAAGCTCTTCTGTACTGCAACTAAATGTTAACCTTTTGAAAGCTGATAGTGAAAAATATTCCATCTATGTAAAGTATAGTGGTTTGTAAGCTAACAGCATCCACTGCAAATAAAAGCAATTCTGGCTATTTAGTTATCATTTGTCTCCAAGCACACTGTAATTGCTAGTACCATACCCAGCATGGGAGAGAGCATGTTGTTGTCCTCGCCTCCTGAGTTTAAGAAGACGTCCAGTGCTTCTTGGTCAGACATGTCCATTAGGTCCATCTGTTCCAGCATGTCCACATTCACTTCCATGGAAGACATGCTTCCAATGGGTTCTGCAGTGGAAACAGCACAGTGAGCCACCTGACAGCCAACTACCCGATGCTATTCCCTGTGGAAGCCTTCATAGCTACTATAATTGTGTTAAGTCAGGATTAAACGAGCTTTGGAACGAAGACATTCACATCAGACAACCGCTTAGCTGCAACCTCAGCCCGAAGCTGAGTCTCCTCTGTGCAAGCTTTTTCTCTGCAAAACTAATGACTGTCACTGCTCTTGTAAAACAAGGCATTTTTAGCAATAACATTTATACTGCAGTGTCGTCAGAAACATGCTAAGATGGGCTCCAGCGCCGAGTTAGGAACTTTGCATTTTGCAATGCTCTTCCAGTTTCCTCAACTAAAAGTCTTTTTAACAGAGAAGACACTTAAGCACACACTCACTAAATGTATAAGGGTCATGAATATTTAGAAAATAAACATTAACAGAGAGCAGCCATTCTTTGTTCAAGCTATCTAATACATGCCAGTAGGATGCAAAGCCTAGGCTGATGACCAATTATCTTCTCCCACCATAGGCATTTCATGTCATTAATTACTTAAGCAAAATACTTACTGTTTTTTAGTTTAATACCTATAGTTTACAGGGCTATTAAATACTTGGATGAGCATCTTCTTCCTTGAACAGATATGCACACACACAAAGCAGATAGATATACATATACTCAGATTTAAGTCCAGTTGCTAAAATAGCAAATATTACAATTAACAGTTTAACAGTTTGCATAAATTTAACAATCACACTATTAAAAGCCTTCATATGTGAACTGAGGTGAAACCCTATATTTTTACCCCCTCCAAGTATATTGCATCTGTAGCTCTTAAACATACTGGAGGCTCAAGTTTTTCTTAATAAAAAGGGACTGTGCAGGTTGTGCACTATTGTTCTAAATTTAGACAATGATGTACCCATCACTCTAACAGAGCAATGTGTAAAGTGGCAGCAGTGACACTGCCCACTTCAAGTGCAAGCTGACAGTATATACAGAAAGTGGGAGACAAATTCAATTCCTCCCTCAGAGCAAAGGATTTAACAACTTATATATGCTGCTTCCCATCATCATAGAATCACAGAATGCTCAAGGTTGGAAGGGACCTCTAGAGATCATCTAGTCCAACCCCCCTGCACACGCAGGGTCACCTAGAGCACGTGGCACAGGACTGCGTCCAAGCAGGTTTTGAAGATCTCCAGAGAAGGAGACTCTACAACCTCTCTGGGCAGCCTGTTCCAGTGCTCTGGCACCCTCACTGTCAAGAAATTTTTCTTAAGTTCCTGGGGAACTTTTGATGCTTGGGTTTCTGGCCATTTCCTCTAGTTCTGTCGGTGGCCACCACTGAAAAGAGGCCAGCACCATCCTCTTCACTCCCTCCCTTGAGGTACTTATAGACACTGATTAGATCCCCTCTCAGCCTTCTCTTCTCCAGGCTGAACAGGCCCAGCTCCCTCAGCCTCTCCTCATAGGGCAGATGTTCCAGGCCCCTGATCATCCTTGTGGCCCTGCGCTGGACTCTCTCCAGCAGCTCCACATCCCTCTTGTACTGTGGAGCCCAGAACTGGACACAATACTCCAGATGTGGAAGACTGTCCTAGGAACAAAGCTAGAGCATCTTGCAGATCAGCAGCTATAACACTGATGCAGAGAAATAGGGATCTTGGATTGTATTCCCTGTTCCAACAATTCAAATGCAGCAGAACTGTCTTGGAGCTTGAGCAGGTTCCCCACAATTTTCCCTCCTACGAGTGGGTGACATAATATCCTGCTGCTGGCTTTCTGGTCCTACAGTCCCTTCCTTTTGGCCCAACAGATGGGATACCTCCCACACAGACATGTCTACAGTCTACAGCAGTCTTGTCCTGTAATCACTAGGGAAATGCCAGTCTTGAATCATTTTATAACATGGAGAGTGTTGAAACCGCATCTCCCATGTTCTAACCACATACTCTACATATTATACAGTCAATATCAAAAGCTGCTATATCTGGAAACTGCTATGAAAGATAATACTGAGCTTTGTCTGCACCTTTTAACATTTTCATAGAGGCATCTCCTGTCGGGTGATGAGCTAGTGGACAGGAGCAGCCACATACACCCACACCTTCAGAGACAGGGATGCCCTCCACATAGGATCATGGTTGATCATTATGGTTGGAAAAGCTCTTTAAGATCATCACATCCAACCGTAAACCCTTTACCTCCTTGGATGCATAGACGTGTGCTGCTCTAGTCAGTACTTAAGTGAAACAGCAAACACAGAGTCTGGTTGATTCTTCTAAGGTGCCTGACTCCCCTGAGACCCAAAGGTTGTTTAAAAAGCCCGATTTTTACATTTCCCCCAAGGAAGACAGGATCAAAATATTTAGACACTGCCATACTTCAGCTGCAAGCACTTACAGCTGCTGCTGGCTGGCCCCTAATCAGTGTGCTCTGGGAATGCTTGTGGATTACACAAATAGTAGTTTGCAACTTGCCTCGCCTCTCTGCTATCT